TCTATTTATTGATTTTTTTCATTAAGCTAGAATATTTATACAGCAGTGTATGCATAGGCAAGGTGCTATGGTTGCATACTGCCTAAGGCATTTGACTGCTAACCAGAAGGCTGGCAGTTCAAACCCACCAGCTGCTCCACTGAAGGAAGATGGGGAAATCTACTTCTCTAAAGATTTAGTCTCACAGAAACCCAATGGGGCTCACTATGAGTCAGAATCAACTGGATGGCAGTGAGTTTGGCTTGGGTTTGGTTATATGCATAAGCATGACCCTACTCTTTTTCTTTTTTTGAAAATACTCAATTACAAAGGAGCTCTGGTGCTGTAGTGCCTAAGGCATTTGACTGCTGACCAGAAGGAAGGTTGGGCAATCTACTTCCGTAGAGATACCGCCTTGGAAACCCAAGGAGTCGGATCCCACTCCACGGTAGTGCATTGCATTGTTGTGTTGCATACACAATTACAAAATTTGGTGATCACTGGTTTAGTGGAAAGAACACTAATGTGAAATGGGTGCTAGTCCAAATTCAAACACTAGCTTGGCTGTGTGAACAAGGGTGAGCTATGAAGGGTCTCTCAGCTTTGGTTTCTGCAGCTGTAAAATGAAGGGCCTGGTGCTGATGAACCTGAGATCTCTTCCAGCCTTGAAAATCTATAAATGGAAAATCTTCCTTTTCTTTTGCTTATTATGTAATTGTAAGAGCAGAAGGTAATTTTTTTTTTTTTTTTCCTGTTCAACCCTTAAATTGGACACAGAGGTAAGTCTATTTCTGAGTTCCTGGACTATTTCCAGAGTGCTTTCTGTACCTTGGCTACATCCATTCTCTGTGCTGCTATTGGTCATAGATGTGGTGAGGTCACACACCAAGATATTGAGTTTAAATCTTCTGACTCTATACATACCAGAAGTGGGCAAAGCACAATTAGTAGCAGAGTACAAAAAGGCAGCCCTGGAAACTGTCACAGACACATGTGCACACACACAAATCAATTTTTATCTATTGCTTAACCTCATTAAAAAAGAAAAGAATAAAACAAACTCACTGCCATTGAGCTGATTCCAACTTACAGTGACCCCCACTGTGTTTCTAAGGCTATAAATCTTTACGGAAATAGATCACCCAATCTTCCTTCCATGGAGCAGCTGTTGGGTTTGAACCGCTGACCTTCTGGTTAGCAGCCAGATGCCTTATCCACTGTGCCACCAGAGCTTCTTCTTAACTTCATTAGTGCCTTGAAACTTGGAAAGTTTTAAGATTTAAGTTAAGCACATAAAGGACAGTAGGTTCAGCTTTAACATTTCCATGCATATCAAGTTTTGTATCCACTTAGAAACTGAGCTATTAGAGTATCATTTTCAAAGTTAGATAGACCAAAAATTGGAGAGATTAGTAAGCCCTCATTTGGCTCTTTAAGGTCAAATAAATTTAAAATTTACATATTCTATTTAATTCTTTTAAAAACATTATTCAACTTTAAAATTTGATAGAGGAAGATGTTGAACTTCTGTGTTGATGGATCATAATGAAATCGACTACTGATAGTCTTCAAATAAGAAATTACACTGATTATTACAGAATCCATTACTTCAAACTTTGTATTACTTTGATCTAGTTTTGTTTGCTATTTAATAAAATATAACGTAGAAACCAATGATAGTGTCATAATCTTTATCATAAAATTCAACTATTAAAAATAAGCTGTTATGATTTACCTGTAACAAGAAAATAACCACATTCTGACATGTTCTGTATAATAATTGCATCAATTTTAAGATTTCTATTAAAGGAGAAATGACGGAAAAAGGAGCAACACAACAAAAAGAATGAGAATTCCCCGTTGTTTTGATGTAAATAAACATGGAAAGATATGAGTTCATAAAACTGTGATTGTAGACAACTAAAATGAAAGTGAAGAGGAAAACCAGAAAAACAGGAGAGAAATTAGAACAGATACATGTTCTAAAATTAAAAAAAAATGAAACTATTCAGCATTATAATTTTATTTTGTGTGATAGTAATGGAATAAAGGAGTGAAGGAAAATACCACTTTAAACTTAGACCTGTATAAGCACAGCATGTACTTTGTGACCTGCTAGGAGTACAGAATGCAGTCATTTTGCTACTGCCTGGAACAGCCAGCCAGGAACAAATTTCACTAAGGCTTCCAATTGGTAACCAAACCACAAGCTTACATTCAATGTTCTAACCTTTAGATTTAGTGCTGATCATAGGAGAAGACCTAGATATTCACTGGGGAAAGGAGGTAGTGTGTTAGGAAGAGATTCCCTGCTTCATTCCTCCACACAGGAGGTTAAAGGCAATAGCCACTCTGGCACCACCGTGCCCAAAACCACTGGGAACTCTACGCTGATGTTACTAGTTAAGCAGAGGATACATTTCCTACATCATTATGTGTCCATTTTGTAAAAGGTACATGTATAATCTAGCTTCTTCTTTTGATTATGCTAACCCCCTTTGCTTTTCCAAATGGTTTTCAAAGTTTAAAACATAGTCAGGTTTGACCGGTAGGCATTTGTCTCTTCAGACTGGGCAGATTGCCTTTTCCATGCCACACCACTCACAGTCTCCATTTTCTCTTCAAAGCTCCTCTGAACCGGAGGCTTTTTTTTTTTTTTTTTTTTTTTTACATTTAACTGTTTATTAAAAAAATAGTTTCACATTTATAGAAAAGTTACAAGGATAGTACCAAGAGTTCCTGAAAAACCAGCACCCAGTTTCCCCTGTCGTTATTGTCTCCCAGGAACTCTGAAAGCTGATGCAAAATTTGATATGCTAGTGTGAAAATGAGTTGGCTTTTTTTTTGTTAAAGAGAAGTCAAGTATTTTAGATTAAGACTATACTTTTAGTTTTGTCAATCGTTTTTCTTTAGGTGTGATCTCTGCTTTCCTGTTTCTTGTCATGATAGTAACTTTTTGGGTTTATTAGAACATTGTTGTTGTTAACCACCATTGTTGTTAGCCAACATGTGTACCTTTACATCAGGTCTTTCTTCCACAGATCTGCTGTATGTATTTGAACTGCCAAATTTTAGGTTAATACTTTATCACAAACTGTGTCACCCAGGCTTTTACCTCAGAAAGTACATTTGTACCAGTGTGCATAGATGGATGTGTGTGTATAACAGAACTGACCAAAGGGTTCTTTATCACACCTTGCAATTCTCTGACTTGCCTGACGCTATGTGCTCACATAACATGTTAACTTTGTGTTCCATGAAGAGGAATATGTCTACAGCATGTAGTGTCTCAACATACACACCGAAAACCCCTGTATCAAAATCATGTGGGCTCCCTGCTACAAGCTACAGAAACTTGGGCCCTTACTCAGAAAAAAATCTGCATTCTTAAACATCCCCCAAAGGAGAGAGCTCAAGGGGCAGGAGTGCATGGAGGGAAGGACACAGGGAAGAGGTAACACAGGGGAGGATGAAGGAAGGCAGCTATTGCATTGTGGGAAATTGTAGTCAATGTCATGAGACAAAGTGTATGTGAACTGCTGTATGGAAAGTGAATTTGCTCTGTAAATGTTCATCCAAATCACAATTAAAAAAAAAAAAATCACATATAACCACAACACATCTGACTTCAACGCATCAGAGTTTAAGGAGAAAGTGACCTCTAGAAACAGTATTGACATTACACAATGTGAGTTACAGGAAGGGTTATATTGACAATACTTATTATGTTAATAAAAATATTAAAAATAGCACCTCTTATTTTTAAGTCACTTCATCAGGAGAGGTCGGTCACTGAAGAAGGACATTATGCTTGTTAGAGGGTCAGTAAGAAAAGGAAGACCCTCGGTAAGATGGACTAACACAATGACTGCAACAAAGGCTCAGACATGGCAACCGTTGTGAAGATAGTGCAGGACTGGGCAGCCTTTCGTTATGTTACACGTAAGGTAACATAAGGTTACACTTAAGGTATAAGTCAGAGTTGACTCAGCTGCATTCTCATGGATTGAATTGTGTCCTCTCGAAATTTGTGTCAACTTGTCTGGGCCAGGATTCTCAGTGGTTTAGAAGTTATGTAATGATATAATGTGGCAGATATGAAATGATAACCTGATCATGTGTAATAGGATTCAGATTAAGGGTGGGTTGCAATACCCTTAGTCCCCCTACAGCGGTGATCCAATGTAAAGGATCTTCCCTGGGGTGTGGACCTCAACACCTTTTATTTTACAAGAGATGAAAGGGAACAGAGAAGGGGTAAAAAAATTCCCCCAAAGGGATTTGATGTACAGTGTAGCAAAAGCATTCCTATCAACTGCCTAAATTCCACACCCTAGTTTAACAGCAAAAGGATATTTAGTACTGTTATAAAAACACTGCTCTTTCAGGGAGGGGGAAAAAAAAAAAGAAGCCATGACATTTCTATAGACCTGTTTTCCTTTTGCCCCTATATGTTGTTGCTGTTGTTATTTGCCATCAAATCGGCCCGACTCATAGCGACCTCTCCTTGGGTTTCCGAGGCAGTATGACTACAGAAGTAGGATTACCCAACCTTCCTTCCGAGGAGAGGCTGGTGGGTTTGAACCGCCAGCCTTCTGGTTAGCAGTCAAGTGCCTTCGGCACTATGGCCCTATATAGAGGGCATTATTTAAGGTCTTGGAGCTCTGATAGCATAGTGCCTAAGGCACTTGACTGCTAACCAGAAGGCTGGCGGTTCAAACCCACCAGCCACCCCTCGGAAGGAGGGTTGGGCAATCTACTTCAGCAATCTACTTCCGCAGTGATACTGCCTCGGAAACCCAAGGAGGGGTCACTTAGAGTCGAGGTCAACTTCATGGCACATAACAACAATTTAAAGTCTTTCTGACTCCACTTAAATTCTAAGGATAAAAGATAATTTTAATAATAGAAGTTAGGATTCTCTGAAACCTCTTTCAAGTAAAAACTTACTTTTATCAGTATTTTGAATATTTTAAATGATTTTTTTTTGTGACCGTCTAATGTGAAGGGTTTTATTTCAGACTTACAGATTCCAGTCTGTTGCTAGAAGATTATTCATCCAAGTTGAGTCCCCAAACAAAGAGAGCCAAGAAGAGCCTTCTTTCTGGAGAGGAGAAAGAGAATCTGCCCGGTGACTACATGGTGCCCATTTTCTCAGGACGGTATGGTGATTTCTCTTCCTGGGTTTGATTATTTGAAAGTGGAGAAGGAATATTGTCAGAGAAGGTGATGATGATAAATAATAGTAATTATTATTATCATTTACTGAGCACTTGACTATGTACTGGGCCCTGTGTTACACACTGTATGTCTGAGCAAGCCCAGACCCCTGTACTGAGCAGATGTGTTAATTAAGAAAAGGCATTCTTCCAGAAATCTTTGTCATCACTCAGCATCATTAAGTAACAGCAGGTAATGTTTAGAAACTTAATACTACTTGTGGAATTAGTTGAAATTGGAAGTAGAGCATTTGAAAACTAAAGATTGAACCCTATATACATAGTCACCATAATTAGAAGAGAAAGAAAATTTCAAAACTATAAAATGGTGGGTGAACTAAAAAAAAAAAAAAAATCAGATGATTTGTTTAGGTAGATGGAAAAGATCTTGGTAGTCGATATTGTTTTGGTTATTAATCATTAGTAAGAAAAAATATGTATACCATAGGTTAAGTAAAACTCCAACAAAAAAAAACCAGACTCACTGCCATCCAGTCGGATTCGACTCATAGCAACCCCTCCACGGGTTTCCAAGGTGATGTCACTATGGAAGTAGATTGCCCAACCTTCCTTCTGAGGAGTGACTGGTTTTGAACAGCCAGCCTCTGGTTAGCAGTCAAATGTGTTAGGCACTATGCCACCAGAGAAGAAATTGCCTAATAATTCAAATGCCTGGCTTATCTTATTTACTGCAAAGTGATTATTATTTATTCTGAGGCAACCCTCAAAACAAAATACTAAACCACAAGTTTATGTAATGCCCATTTTCTTTGTTTCTTATTTAAATTCTTCTTTTGAATGATGTTAAGAACCAAGGAACTTAACAGAGGCACCAAGATTAAAGTTTAACAGGAACTTTTAAGCCCTCCCCCGTTTATTTTCCTTTGATTAGAGAATTGCTCACATAGCTAGGGAGATACTCAAAATGAGGTCATCCTACTAGGGCAAATGCTATCAGACAGTGGCATGGAAGAGGAGATGATGACTGAAAGTCAGGAGGAAATCATCGGATGGCGACTTCTGGTGACCGAACTCTGTTTCCCTGTGTTCTTCCTTCCATTGTTCTCTGGCTCTTCATTTTTGAATTGTTTCAGAAGCTGATGCAATAATTGCTTTGAGCCTCATTTGTGATATAAGTGGATAAATAATAATCTATTTTTAGTTTTTTATTGGATATCTTTTAATATGAACTTTCCAGGGAAACTTGTTTATATTTCTAAGTGATTGCCCAGACATAGATTCTTCACAAAGTTAGTTAAACTTTCACTCATATTCATTATAACAGGCCACTAGGTTAGAGGCGTAAAATAGTGTTGTTTTCTGCTTGCTTCCCTCGGTTAAAAAGAAAAAAAAGAAAAAAGAAACGTTTAAAAACAACATCAACTTAGCATTATCTAGCATGCCTCTGTGTCTATGTGGGCTTTGTACTCTCCATGTCTTCTCCTAAATCTTTCTCTACTAAACCATTCTGGCTTTTCCCGATTGTTGTTAGTTTACACAATAACCTCTGATAAAATAAAATGTGAATGAAAATTGATCTCCTAGGTTTTATTTACAATTCTCCTTTATTTTCTGTATGGGCCCAATTTCGTATGTTCTATTATGGTGTTGAAAATAACACTTCACAATGGCATTGACAGTATCGTCAATCTAAGAAAAAGATAGGAAAGCAACTAGCATTAACAGTAACAGATTTAGAGTTGAGACCATCTGTAATATTCAGAGTGCTAGGGAGGTTTATCTGTTTATTTTAAATTTGTAATAGTATACTTTTTGTCAACATGTCACATCATATTCTTGCTCTGTGCTCAGATTTTAGAAGAGTTACTAATGACATATGTTTACTTAAAGGAGAATATCCTTTCTATCTTGGGTCAAACAGAGATGTTTAAAAATGTATTCAATTCCTCATGTGAACTAAATGCAATTTCAAGATTCAGTTTATTTATGAAAGGAAAAAGCAAGGAGCCCGTGAATCCCTCCTGCCCTCCGGAGCTATGCCAACATTTCCATTGTTGGAAGCAGTGAGAAGTTAGACTTAAAGTTCTCTTACTTGGGGTTTTCTCAGCTCAGGGCAAGACTAGCACTGGATGAGATTAATTATTGTACATATCAAATCACATGCCAAAGCTCATTTCAAATCTCTCTCTTCATGGTATGTTGACCTCTATGGAGAATTCCACACAAACTCTCACAATAGTTTATTTTGTATGCATTTGTTAATAACTCATTTATTTCCTATCTTACTTAAAAAAAAAAAAAAAAAAAGATTAGAGCTAATTATCTTAGGACACTAAGCTAAAAATCTCCCATCTTTTTTTGTTTCTTGCTAAACTGAATAGTGGGTATAGTACTGATTTCATTAGCAGGAACTTCCCTATTAATATTTGAAGAGACAAATGTAAAGAGAAAGAAATTAAATTTTACTCACTAAATTTAATAAGAAATAAAGTTGACTTATTTTGTCTACTCACTGTTCTAGTAGTGTCCCGTGAGAAATTTCAATCTTGTGGCAAATGTTGAATCCTGTTCCTCAGAAAAATGCCAGGCATTTGCATATATAAAGGCATTATTTGCTTAAGTTTTGAAGTACTCCTCTCTAAAAAGAGTAAATGTACAATTCTGCTTTAAGAGATCTGAGGAGAGTCAGATTTTCAAGCAAGTCTCCAGTATATAGTTAAGACACTCCCTAACTGAACCATCTGAAAGGGTTCACAACAAAGGTATCGAAGAATATTAAAGATAATGTAAATATTTTTAACATTATTAACAAATAACAGAATACACTCTATTATAAACTACCACTTTAGGGGATGATACTTTTAGATGTTACCTCATATCTCTCAAGTGCCATCATCATCAATTACTGATAAAGACAGAACACTTTCATAAAAGTTACCACTTCAGTTGCTAGTCTGATTATTTCTTCTTGTCACAGGTACATGCAAATGCAAAGATTGTTATGTATACACTCACACACAGCATGAACACAATCTCTATTATCTTGGAAACACAGTGGCCATAAGGATATGGTGGAAATTTAAGATTTATTTTTATATGCAACAGCTCTGGGCAATGCAGTATATCTACTGGATTACAGAACCCAGATGAAGCACACAGTCATACATCAGAGTCACAGGCTTTAAAGCACACAAATTATATCTCATTTTACAATATTGTCTTTTCTAGAAATAGTCATAACTTTAATCTCTTGTTGTAAACTAAATCATATTTAAATGCACCAAGCAGACTAGTACCATGAGCTTTGGTCAGGGATGTAACTTCTCTGAACCTTGTTACCATATATGTAAAATAGAAATGATACAATTTACCTCAGGGGGTTGTTGTGAGCACTACATGAGATAATTGTCCAATGTGGCAGCTAGTAGCAACAAATGTTAAAAAGCACTTGACATAGTACCAGGGACATAATAGGAATCATTATTTTATTATTATTATCATTGTTAATGTGAAGACTTTTTTTTTTTTTTTTAATTTACTTTCATTGTGGTGAAAACATACACAATAAGACATTTACCAACATAACAACTTCCACATTTACAGCTCAGGGACATTGATGAAATTTTTCATATTGTGCCTCCATTATTGCTGTCCTTATCTAAAATATTCCACCACCAGTAGCACAAGCTCAATGCCTTGCAATATCCACTAATCACTAATACTCTTTGGTGTGTTTGTGTGTATGTGTGTTTATCCTGTCTAACAATTTTCCCTCCGCTCCCCTCCCATGAAGACTATGAGACTATGTTTGCATGTGAAGAGTTAGCTACTGATTTACCAGATTTTTCTATGTCAGGTTTTATTTGGGCAAACTATTTTGCATTGGAGGTCTGGTACATAGAACTTTGTAAAATAAGGCAATCTTATCAGTGCCATCCACAATATCCATCTTTTGTTGTTGTTCATTTTTAGCCAAGTCCATGTCAGTGGAATTACAGATACAGAGGAACAAAGAATTAAAGAAGCTGCTGCATACATAGCCCAGAGGAATCTTCTTGCCAGTGAAGAAGGAATCTCAACATCCAAACAGTTGACAGCATCCAAACAGTCCATGGCATCCAAACAGTCCACATCCATTCTTCAACAGGAGGAGGCTTTGAAGAAGAAGTCAAGGAAAGTTGCAATTCGAGAAAAGGCAGAACACCTGTCTCTGAGGAAAACAGTAAGAAAAAGACAAGTTAATATCACTTACAAAAATTGAAATGCATGGAACAGGTTGTGTGTAGATCCAGATTTATTTGTTCAAGTGAAGAAATAAGTGGTTATGTGTGGAGAAGCAGAACAAAAGGAAACAAGGGAAAAAGACAATAAAATGTATAAGTCAAAGAAAGAGAAATCTAATAGTTTAAAACTCCATAGAGTATGACTGAAAAACCCTTAAGGAATTCACCTTAGAGAAGGAAAGTTTGTTGTTCAAGCTTAGAATGTTAAGAGTTAAATAATTACATCTGTTTAAAGATGGAAGGAAGGCAATACATTTTATCTAAATACAAAAATAAGGCTCTAAATGGAAAAATAATTTTGGTTTGTATTTATTTTAGTGGAAGCCCCAGAGGCACAAACAGTTAAGTCCTCAGCTTTAACCAAATGTTGTCGGTTTGAACCTACCCAGCAGCTTCACGGTAGAAAGATTTTGGTGACTGGTGTCCGCAAAGATTACAGCCAAGCAAACTCTACGGGGCAGCTCTACTCAGTCACATGGGGTTACTATGAGTTGGAATTGACTCAATGGCACCCAACAAGAACATTTAAATAGCACAGATTACTTTGATTTAGTAGTATTGTGATAACATATATATTTTTCCAGTTAGAAGAAACTGAGGCATATCATAGAAAGTTGAATGAAGATAGTCTTCTTCACGCTCCCGAGTTCATCATCAAACCTCGTTCGCACACTGTGTGGGAGAAAGAGAATGTAATATTGCACTGCTCCGTATCAGGCTGGCCAGAACCTCGTCTCACGTGGTATGTTATCATTATGAAAATCACTTACTGAATTGATTACACGAAGTTACATTTCCTTCTAGTGAAAAGGTGCAGGATTATCAATATGCAGGAGTCAAGAAGGATGCCTACAATTTTGTATAGATTTTCACCAGAATGAAAAAGGACTCTGGGATGAATATTTGATGCCTGGGAAGAAAGAACGGTCTTGCAATCATTTTAGTACATTTAGTAGCACTTTATAATCCCATTATGCAAATGGATCTTTATCTTATATTAAGTGTCAAAATTTAGTCAACATATATATAAAGAAAATTTTATCTATAATTTTGATGGGCAATAAAAATTGTTTGTTGTTGTTGTTATGTGCCATCGAGTCAGACCCGACTCATAGCATTAGGTGCCATAAAAATTAGATAAAAATTCACTTCCATTAATTAACTTTACAATATAGGTGTTTCATGGTTAGAAGCAATGCTGCCTTTTTGAAAATAACTAAAACCCAGAGGGTTCTCATCTCTACTCCTCACCTAAGCTGAGGCCTCAGGGCACTTTCTGAAGCCAAACAAAAGAGCTTTATCAGATGGAGCTGCTACTCAGATGTGACCTTAAGAAATTTTCTTTCCATAATGAATAAAATCTCTTTTGTCCTTTTATCCTGTTCCAATTGCCAATGAACTTGTGATCCATAAACCCAGAACTTCCCTGTCATATATCAGGAACATCTGCCACAGAGACCAGAAGTAAGAGAATGAGTGAACCAATTTCAAAAACACTTGCCATTTTATTTTCTAACACAGGTATTTTGCATACCTATTTTCTTATCCTCAGGGGTGATAGCAAATGCACCCCCACACAGCAGAATAAACACTACCCAGAGTCACATTGTCACCCACAGAGCATCTTCCTTCTCCTCCTTACCTTTTTGTTATTTCTAATGTTGGTCTGACACCTGCTAGTACAAATGCAAATGGGTGACAAGAGACACTCACTTAGTGAAACTCACCTGCTCACTTAAGGAGCAGGTGCTGAGTTTTTTAAAACATTCCCTTGTGATACTAATCAGCCTTTGATAACTTTGGAGTCCTTGGGTAGTGCAAATGGTTAACACACTTGGTTGCAACTAAAAGGATGGAAGTTTGAGTCCAACCAGAGGCACCTTGGAAGGAAAGCCTGGTGATCTACTTCTGAAAAATTAGCCACTGAAATTCCTATGGAACACAGTTCTACTCTCACACACAGGGGGTCTCTATGAGTTGGGATTGACTAGACAGCAACTGATTTTGATAACTTTGAATTTACTTACAATTTTTCTATGTATATATATTCTTTTCAGTTTGAAAACTAAAGAATAAAAACCATAACCAGCTATGAACTATCAAGCAAAATAATTTATAGTATTATATGTAAATTATATTATGAGAAATGTAGGAACATATTTCAATAAAAATTAAGTTTTAAAAATATGTTTACAAGCTTTAAGATATAAAATAATACTTCAGTAAGTTAGGAATCAATCTGCCTTTGACAATTTTTACCCATCTGTCAATGGGACGATGGCCATTCATCACTTACCCACATGGTTGAGTTCCAAAGACCAAGTTGTTATGTGAAAACCAGTGTAACAGGAAAATGGAGGATGATCACATCAGATCACAAATTGGAGGATGACTACATTATTACATAACTGCCAAATTACATCATGACAGAACTGCCAAATTACATCATGACATAACTGCCAGATTTCATCATTGCATGACTGCCAAATTATATTACACAGTTGTCAAACCACCAAGAAACATGACCCAGCCAAGTTGACACATAACCTTAACTATCACAGCCAGCATTACTCTCACCTTGCACCTTGGTGTTCATTAATGTCAGACATGCATCATTATTGTTCAAAATACTCAGATAGTAGACTTTTTACTATTGTTGTAAATGCAAAATGTCAGATAATGAGATAGTCTAGTCGATAAGTGAGGAGTAGGTGGATTGAGAGTTGGGCTGTTAAGGGGACATTTCCTCTTGAAAAACTGATTACTTCCCACCTCAAAAAAAAAGAAGAAAAAAATCCAAACTTTCCCATAGAACTCTATAGGAAATAGTAAATTTTAAGGTCCAAGAAATATTATTTGGTCAGCAAAAAATTTCTCTCTTCTCATGAGTTAAAAAATATTAATAATAAATGAATAATCGATCCTTTAGTTGAATATATAATTGTGCCAGTGCCCTGTCTCTGTTTTCCTATGTTTAAAAAATTAGACTTAAAGAGGTTTTTCAAAAGGATACAAAATAATCTGTGGGGAAAAATATTCATTTCCTAAGCATTTATTCATTCTATTCAATAAACAGCAGCTAGAATAAAACCAGCCACATACTATTTACGGTGATAATAGTCAGAGAGAAATGATGTCTGAAAGCCAGAACTTGGCCTCAGAGACCAAATTCTTTCCATCCCATTGCACTGACCTGGAAAAGCCAACAAATAAAAACAATAAAAAAGATTTTAAAAACTTCAAAAAAAAAAAGATAATGACTAGTCAGTACTTAGAATTCCTATTAAATTTTTTAATAAAGAAAGGAAATGTCAGTTTTCAGTTATCCTTACTAATGGAATTGAGAAGTACAAATGACCCCCAGATATTTCATGTGTGGCTCTAAAATAGTAATTTCATTGATATATGAATATAATTGTATTTTATATCTTAGAGTCTCATTTCAAACAAAAGTGAGGGCACAAAGACAAGCTGAAGAGGCCTCATTCACCGGAACACCCCTTCTCTGGTTCTTGCATCCCTTTGAATGCTTGGAGAAGGCAACTTATTCTCAGATGAAGCAAAGCACCAGTCAATTCTCCCAACAGGGCCAGATCAGGGCTTCTCATGGAGAGTCCTGTTGCCTTGCAAGCAGAGCCAGAAAAAATATATTTAAACAAAAGAACCAGTTAACAGTTAAGAAAATAGTAACTATTCTTCTGAGAGCAAGATTTGTCTCTGGATGAAGTCAGTATTTGTATAACCAACTAGCAGAGAACTGAAAATTGATGATGGCAATAAAGAAGGTCTGATCCAGGTTTCGTGGAACATGAAACTTATACTGTTTGGGAGCTTCCTTTACAAAAAGGAATATAAAGTTAGTCACATAAATTAGTCATAGGGCCTTGAGGAGCTATGGTGAGAAGCTGTGATACAAAAGTCTCATTCCCTTCAAGGTAAAATCACCTCTGATGATAAATTTCTGTATGGGATTAGTACACTTTCATGAGCATGTTATCTTAAAAAAATGAAATTCTAATTTATTTTGAAACACTAGTACAGAATATGCAATCTTCAGTAAGCATTTTCTCCTCAATAATATTGGCTCAATAAGCAAGGAGCAAGATTTTTGGCGATTACTTTGCTGATTTTGTGCCTTTTTGCAACTGCCACTGCAGCTTCCAGTACCTGACACTGACTACAAGTATGAGAGAGATACTGAGAATGCCTTTCCTGGACCCTTGCTGTCAGCTGCCATCAAGGTGGCCCTGACTCATGACAACTCCGTGTATAACAGATGCTCCTTCCCCATTTCCCTGGTCGTTGTGGTGACTATTGTGTCAGTCTACCCCGTGGAGGATTTCTTTTATTTTTGCTGACCCTTTACTTAAGCAACCAAGATATCCTTCTCTGTTGATTGGTCTTTCTTGATGGCGGGTCCAAAGTAAGTGAGCTGACGTCCCATCATCCTCACTTCTAAGGAGCATTCTGGTTGTGTTTCTTTTAAGACTGATCTATTATTTGTTCTTCCTGAATAAAAGAAGGTACATTAAAGGAATTAGTTTCTGATAATGCAATCATGCTACCTCTATCTCTAGCAATTGAGTTTGTAATCACATCTATCAAAGGCACTTGTGCCTGGGGCTCTAGGGCTCCCATAGAAGCTTTTCCTAAGAGGGTTCGACTCCAAGTTTCCACTAGGTATTTTCAGGTCATCAAAGTCCCTAAGGTCTAACCAATGATATGAACAACATGGCAGCTGCTCTTAAGCCAATCCCACATTACTGACTCAATCTATTTAAACTGAACCTAATGGTTACCCTGACCATCCCAAGTGACTGCAGTACGCATCACTCATCAGTTGCAGGGGCAAAGACAGCTAGGGGCACTGTCCTGTTTCCAGCCTTCTTCGTGGCTTGGGTTCAGTAGGAACGTTAGCTGCAGGGGATGCAACTGTAACCCACAGTGCAGCTGGCCATCCTGAAGGCAGCCTTTGTCAACATTAAAAAAAAAAGCTGCAATCAAGTTGATTCCAACTCATGCTGATCCTGTGTGTGTCAGAGTAGAACTGTGCACTGTGGGGTTTTCAAAGACTGCTTTTTTTTGGAAGTAGATCACCAGGCATTTCTGCCAAGATGACTCTAGGTGGACTCAAACTTCCAAACTTTTGGCTAGCAACAAAGCAATTTAACCATTTGTACCACCCCAGGACTCCTTTCTCAACATAACTCACTCAAACTCACTGCCATCGAGTTGATTCTGACTCATAGCGACCCCCAGTGGGTTTCTGAGGTGGTAAATCTTTACAGAAGTAGATTGATTGCCCCATCATCCTTCCACAGAGCAGCTTATGGGTTTGAACGATCAACTATCTGGTTAGTAGTCAAATGGCTTAGGCACTGCACCACTGGAGCTTCTTCTCAACCTAGAAGGGAAAATATATATGTAGTGAGAAACTGGGAGCTCTGGTAGCATAGTGGCTAAGGCACTTGAC